ACACAGGCTCTACAGTAACCCTGGTGAGAGCAGATGTGTTGCCCAGTGGGACTATGTTCGAGCCGACATCGGTGCGTCTCCGCACAGTCACAGGAGAGTTGGCGGCTATGAAAGGAAGAGGCGTGCTGTCTGTGTCGGTGGGGGGAGTTGAAGTGCGGCACCCCGTGTGGATAGCGGATGTACAGGACCCGTGTATTCTGGGTTTGGACTTTTTGAAGGCGACGGGCTGCCTCCAGGATCTTCAAGCAGGCACAGTGAGTTTCCGGGGGGGGCCTGTGATTACTATGACCCGTATCCACAACCCTGCTGAGCCTGCGGGGAGACCCCCTACACCCACCGTGAGTACCCTAGAAACCGAGGAAAACCCTCCCTCCGTTCCGGTATCCCCGGTGACGCCCACTCAGGACAATTCCCCACCTGTCCCCCCCGGACTGCGCCACCCGAGCACAGCCCCCCCCCCCCCAGTTACCCCAGACGGAGGTAGAAGAGGCTCAGTCTGCAGTATTGGAGGTGTGGAGGAAGAACTGTGGTGGCCTAAATCCCGAGCAGCAAGAGCAATTGGGGCAGCTTCTGCTAGAGTTCCAGGGCAGTTTTGCCATGAAGGAGGAGGAGGTGGGCCGAACGCATCTGGTGGAACACGAGATTGATACGGGGGACTCGCGTCACGGGCAGCACCTGTAGTCATGGTCCCGAAGAAGACAGGTGGCTGGCGGCTGTGCTCAGACTACAGACCGGTGAACGGGGTCACCAAGAAGGATTCATACCCCCTTCCCCGCATCGATGAGTCCCTGGACCTAGTCGCAGGGTCGTCGTGGTTCTCTTCCTTGGACCTCCGCAGCGGGTATTACCAAGTCCCTCTTGCCCCAGAGGCCAGACCAAAAACGGCTTTCTGCACCGGCCGGGGACTATGGCAGTTCAAGGTCCTCAGTTTTGGGCTGTGTAATGCCCCGGCCACCTTTGTGCGATTGATGGACAGGGTGCTGTCGGGGATTCCCCGCCAACAGTGTTTGGTTTACCTGGACGACATCCTGGTGCATGGCAGCTCGTTTGAGGCGGCCCTGGGATCTCTGAGAGTGGTGCTGGAGAGGATCAGAGCCGCTGGTTTGAAGCTACATCCAGATAAGTGTCATTTCCTGCAGAGAGAGGTCACTTTCCTGGGCCACAAAGTGGGGGGGGAGGGCATCGGCACCCTGCACGAGAAAGTGCAGGCGGTCACAGGCTGGCCAAATCCTCGCAACCAGAAACAGCTGAAGAGTTTCCTGGGCCTGGCCTCGTACTACAGGAAGTTTGTACAGGGTTTTGCTTGCACTGCACCCCTGTTCCAGCTGCTGCAGAAGGACAGGGATTTCCTGTGGTCTGAGCAATGTCAAGCAACGTTTGACGGCCTTCGGCGTGCCTTGAGTGAATCCCCGGTTCTCGCCCCAGCCAACCCCAGGCTGCCGTTCACCCTGGACACAGACGCTAGCGCCGTTGGGGTAGGCGGAGTGCTCTCCCAGACTACACCAGAGGGGGAGCGGGTGGTGGCATACTTCAGCCGGGCGTTCAACAAAGCGGAGCGACGATACTGCGTCAACCGCAGGGAACTTTTGGCAGTGGTGCTGTCCATCAGGCACTTTAAGTACTACCTGTGCGGGCAGGCGTTCACGGTGAGGACGGATCACTCTGCATTACAGTGGCTCATGACGTTCAAAGAGCCAGAAGGGCAGGTCGCCAGGTGGCTAGAAGAGCTCCAAGCTTTCAACTTCAGGGTGGAGCACCGGGCTGGGGTGCGCCACACAAATGTAGACGCTCTCTACCGCCGCCCGTGTGCTGCCGGCGGATGCCACTACTGCGAGAAGAGAGAGACTCGTGAAAAGGAGCTGCTGGAGGAGGACATCGTCTGTGCGGCAGCGCAGCAAGTGGAAGAGGTTATCTGCCGGGAGCTCCAGACAGTGGATGTGACAGAGTGGAAGCAACAGCAAGAGCGGGACGCCGTTCTACAGCCTGTACTGCAGTGGGTTGAGTCGCAGCAGCGGCCACCGTGGGAGGAAGTGGCAGTGCTCTCCAAAGCAACCAAGGGGCTGTGGTGTCAGTTTGAGACTCTACGTCTGTGTCAGGGCGTACTACAGCGGGCGTGGAAGGAGCCAGCAACGGGCGAGAAGAGGTGGCAAGTGGTGGTCCCGAGGGGTCTGCAAGAGGTCATACTCAAGGCCATGCATGGAACGGCAGGCTCTGGGCACTTTGGCGTCACTAAGACTCTCCAGCGCCTTCGTCAGGGCTGCTACTAGGAGCAGTTGTTGGAGATTTGGAGGGATAACTGGTCCGCTTTTCAAATCTCCGCGCGTTCCTATGAAGCTGGTTATAATACAGGAAGGAATCCATAGCTACAAAGTAACCGTTAACAATAATCTACTTTAATGGCAATATGACAATGCAATACAATCATTACAATACAACATGATATATTACAGTTATATTGTAATGCTTAAGGAGTAATACCGGCTTACTCCTGCCCTGGTTTGCATACTGCAGAGCTACTTTCACCCGAGGGCAGCATGTGAAGAAGAGGCCGAACGCCAGGGATCCACCGGATATATACCAGAGTAAGAAGGAGGGGTTTGGTGTTAGGTCAGCTGGTCATCTTTTCAGGTCATCTCATTGGGAGACGCAACGCTGGCCAGCAGGAAACCAAACAGGCTCACTTTCCAACAAAAGGTCTCAAGGCCTGCATACCTACACCTCCCCCACAGAGCAATAAAACCCTGTTTACTCCAACCAGCCCAGAATGTTTATAGCCATTTGTAGTCCTTACATTTATGAAAGGATAAAACAGAGAAATCAATATAAAACACAAACACAGGTATTGTTTGAACAGTATTCACTTAACTGCTACTGTTGATAACCACCAGAGAAACCCAAGGGACCTCCCTTAATATCACAACCACTGTAGCTCGTTCTAAGTTGAATGCAAATCAGGACATGCTCTCACCTTCCCCCATCTTCCTTTGTCCTCAAAACACATGTCAACAGGCCCCAAATGCAGCTCACAGTTTTACCCAAATTATTCCCATTTTAAGCTTATCCATAGTTTGCTAACATGAATAAATACAAATATAACTCTACACAGTGCAGGAGGGATGTCGAAGACTTCTGTCGCCGCTGTGATCCGTGTATGGCGCGGAAGGGCCCCCCTGGTCGTTCCCATGCTCCGCTGCAACAGTTTCCCGTCGGGGCCCCGATGGAGAGAGTAGCGGTTGATGTGGTGGGGCCTCTACCCTTGTCAAACAGGGGTAACCGCTACGTTCTCACGGCCATAGACTACTTCACAAAGTGGCCAGAGGCGTATGCTCTCCCTGATCAAGAAGCAGAGACAGTCGCAGATGCCTTGGTGGCCGGCATATTCAGCCGTTTTGGAGTGCCGGAGACCCTGCACAGTGACCAGGGGAGACATTTCGAGTCCCGGGTGTTCGCCTCCATGTGCTCACAACTGGGCATGCACAAAACACGCACCTCCCCCTTGCGACCACAGAGCGACGGACTAGTCGAGAGATTCCATCGCACCATGGGACAGCAGCTGGCCATCCTCACGTCTCAGCATCAGTGCGACTGGGACGAGCATCTGCCCCTTGTGCTCATGGCATGTCGGTCTGCAGTCCAGGAGTCCTCAGCCTGTTCGCCTGCCCTCCTCATGTTGGGGAGAGAGCTTCGAACCCCTGCTGTGTTGGCGTTTGGTCGGCCACCAGATTACCTAGACACGCCTCCAGGTCCTGAGTACGCCAGGAGACTTCAGGACCACCTTGATTCCGCTCACGCCTTTGCCCGCGATCAGCAGAAAAGTGCTGCGGTGAGACAGAAGCGGAACTACGACACCAGGACCAGAGGGCAGCATTTCCGGGCCGGGGAGCTGGTTTGGGTCTACAGCCCACAACGAAAGAAAGGCCGGTGCCCAAAACTGGACAGTCAGTGGGTTGGTCCCTGCAGAGTACTGGAGAGGGTGGGGGTAGTGGTCTACCGGGTGCAGCTGCCACCAAAGGGGAGAAAAATGGTGCTCCACAGAGACAGGTTGGCTCCGTACAGAGGAGTCGCTTCCCCACAGACCCAAGGAACATCGGGGCCCACAGCTGTCCCCTCGACATCCCCACTCAGGCCCCCCGGCGAACAGAGCAGCAGTCCCCCATCAGGGACTGAGAGTCCCCCCATTTTTTCGCCGCCTGGGCCAGATCCGGCAACCCCGGTCCTCCTGACCCCAGTCCCCCTGCCGAGAAGGCAGACACGACCCCCGGGTCGCTTCAGAGACTTTGTTTGGTAGTAAAGTTATAGTGAGACCCCTCAGTTCCTGTAGAGGGCAAGAATGCGCCCTGGTCTCACTGGAAGGGATGGTAGTCCACCCAGACTTTCCTAGTCAAAGTACAGTGTGTAGATGTAGTGTTGTGCTGTGTTTATTTGTTCCTCGTGGTCGAGGAACTTTGTAGTGGGGGGGTAGTGTAGCGACCCTGCATAGGATATCCAAGGTGTCACTCAGGCATCCCCCGTCTCTCTGCCAATCATAGAGCTGCACAGTGATGCTGGTTGAGGTGCGGGCCTGTGGTTGGGGGAGCGGACGGGGGAGGGCGGGGAGTTGTGACGTAGACACTGCTATATATATATATATATGTGTAGGGGTAGGAGTTAGGTTAGTGTGAGGTAGAACCCACAAAGTGTACATGTACCTGTGATCATCTGTAAGAACAAGAGTTATTAAAGCCTAATAACGAGAAGCCTGTTTCCGACTCACCTTGTGAACGTTACAATACTTTCACCTTCAGTTCTGTAGGATAAAGAACACAAGTGATGCCAATGTCTCCGTTAACCACATTATGTCCTCACATGGGAGCTGCTGACATAGTTTACCCACCTGCTCTTCACAACTGCTGCCAATAAGCTGCACACAGCCACTATCAGATGCTATCATTCATTAGCATCAACTCACATTAGCCCCAGCAGCAATGATGTTCATTTCTCCTTTCTCTGTCTCCCTACAGTCATCAGGCACCACTGTGATGGTGGACATAGCAGTGATGGGAGAGGCCCACGGGCTGATCTCAGACCTGCTGGCTGACCCCTCTCTGCCCCCCAACACCTGCACCTCGCTGCGGGCCGTCAGCAACCTGCTCACCACCCAGCTCACCTTCCAGCCGCTGCACCGACCGCGCCCTGCTCCCCTGCTCAACCCCAGCGATGCCTACACCTTCTCCGACTCAGAGGAGGGACCGGAGAAAGAAGGGAAAACGTCCATCCATAAGGTAAGGACATGCATTTCAAACTCAGAACTCCTCCAATAGATACTACATGCTGCGTGAACATACATCATGTGAGCAATTCCTCATACTCATACTGTGAACCTTGCTCTGTATATTTTTCACATTTCTGTTCAATTGTACCCTGTTTGAAGCTGCACAGCTCTTTCACTTGATATTCTGATTATGTCTTATTATTAAGTTAGTAGTAATATTTGTACTGTAGTTAGTTACTATTTTGTAAAGATTTCTTGCACAGATCCTCTTTTTTTCACAGTTGTACTTCAATAAATACAGTTCTAAAATATGTTTAATCTTTTTACATCTTAAATGCGCCATTATACACCAAAGCACATTCCTTGTGATTCTGAAGTGAAGAGGAAGTGTCATGATTTACATTTCACCGGCAGGACACCTAGTTGTCACCCAGATTTATTTAAAAATGTCACCAGGAGTCTATTCTCAGATTACAAGACTGAGTAAGCAACCCAGTCTCATGGCATTTCGTGTTCACCAACACGATTTTTAATCTATTGATTCGTGTTCACCAACACGATTTTCCCCTTTTTTTCGTGTTGCACAGCACGATTTTAAAATCAATGTATTTCTACTGGTAATGACGCTCATGGAAGCACGGCATTCGTTTGTGTCGGCTGCCCTTAAAGGCAATGTGAGCGTCCATTCTCATTGGATAACGGAGAATTGTACACCCGGAAGTAAGTATTCCCCTTACTGTCGATTGATTTTACAGTGATATCTGCACTACTCATCGACTAAAAAACACCAGATTATCCTTGTTAATTACACAACATTGATTGGTTTAAATTGTGTGCAATGCTTTTGTATTTTTCCCCAACGATTCGGAGAAACAAATATTTTTTCGGAGTAAAGGATGGCAGAAGACACTACACTACCCAGAATCCCCAGCTATCGTTTGGACTACACCATGTGCTCTGTTTGACAAACCCCGTTTTTTTTCACCATTCATTCCAATGGCTGGCGTCAATGTCACGTGATCTTCAAATTTCTCCCTGCAGAAGAAAAAAAACATGACCGAACTTCGTTTTATTCTCGGTCGAAAATGCCTATTTTAAAGTTAGTTTGGCCATTAAAATGCGTTTTGATGTCATTTGATGTGAGAAATATGAGTTGTTATTTCAGATTATGTGTGCAGTGGATGTACATGATCTTTAGTTTGCTAGTTATTACGAAGATTACTTCAGGAAATTGCGTCCATAGAATGTTTTCATTGTTACCAAGGTGGTTGCTAGGGACGCTGCTATCGATATTATTTCTGTTATGTTGTGTAACTGTTTAATGGTGTTATCTTTATTGCTAGCCCCTTCCCCGTCAATGTATAGTGTTGGTCCACAGCGCAAACATATTAGTTTAACAAAATCCGCATCTAAAGATAGCCTACGTTATTTTCCCCTGTGCAATTCCAGTCTCACATCTCACAGCACATCGTCATTAACAAATACCGGAAACAGACCGAAAACATTTAAAAAAAAAAAAATAATACTTTATTTCGAGTGTGCTTGCTTTTCTCTTTGAAAGTCATTCCATAACGGCATTGTAATACACGGTTCGGCTGCATTAAATATTACATATCTGCTGTACTTCTCTATTTATAGAGCCCTGATGAGAAGACTTCTAGACAAACATGAGGAACTGAAAACGTGACGTGGATCATAAATATATCAGCCATTAAACAACATCTTACATTTCTTTTCACACAATACGTCTCCTTGCAGTGTCAACACTAATTCGGCTGACTTTTATATTTGATCCAATTGGTAGATAAGCTGTATTTACACCATAAAGGTGCACAGCGGATATAAAGGGACACCTAGTGGTTAAAGCATGTTATTGAATTTCATTATTTTTATTATTAGATATTAATAGGATCCCTATAAAGTATATTCATTACTCGTTATTCTCTACTAATAGTTAATTAAAGACTGTATATAATGACTATTGGCATTCGTTTGTGTCGGCTGCCCTTAAAGGCAATGTGAGCGTCCATTCTCATTGGATAACGGAGAATTGTACACCCGGAAGTAAGTATTCCCCTTACTGTCGATTGATTTTACAGTGATATCTGCACTACTCATCGACTAAAAAACACCAGATTATCCTTGTTAATTACACAACATTGATTGGTTTAAATTGTGTGCAATGCTTTTGTATTTTTCCCCTTCGATTCGGAGAAACAAATATTTTTTCGGAGTAAAGGATAGCAGAAGACACTACACTACCCAGAATCCCCAGCTATCGTTTGGACTACACCATGTGCTCTGTGATAGTCCTCAAGCTCTGTGATTGGAGAGTGTGCTCCGAGGGTTACGCTGAGCCTCGAACAGCACTTGAAATGGGATGGAACCACGGCAGACTGTCCAAAACTGGATTTGAACGGGTCCACCCTAACCCACCTGTTGTTAATTGATAACATTACATTACATTACATTAATTGATAAGCCTGAAACATGCACTTGTCAAGGTTCAGAGGCACATTTTGCAAATATGGCAGTAGCCATCGATCAGCTTAAGATAAGATATACTTTATTGATCCCAAGTTGGAACATTTGCGTTACATCAGCATGTGTAACAGTTGTAAATATGCAGTGGTGTTTATTTGTAAATCATTTAGTATAATCACACAAATTCTGTGTTTTATATTTAACAATTCTGTGTTCTTTATTTATTGATTGTTCAATACCTGACAAGGCCGGAGATGAAATATCTACATAAATCTTATAAGAGTAATAATAATAATACATTTAATTTATATAGCGCTTCTCATCTGCCAAGACAAATCTCGAAGTGCTTCACAATAAAGGATACTAATACACTTTTATAGATTAAACAAATAATTGTAATAATAATAAGAAATCAAAAAATAAAATATAAAATATAAAATATAAAATAAAGTACAAAAATAAAAGTCTGTGATAGCGATAAAAATGGCAGTACTCCAGGTGTTTTATGATATCAACGTTTATTGGAAGGCCTGCCGAAAGAAGAGGGTCTTAAGGCCGGTTTTGAAGACCTCGGTGGAAGGGGCAGATCTCAGCTGATCTGGGAGGGAGTTCCAGAGTCGCGGGGCGAGTGAGCAGAAGGCTCGGTCTCCCATTGTTCGGAGACGTGTGCGGGGGATGTAAAGAAGAGGAGCGTGGCTGGAGCGGAGAGAGCGGGTAGATGTCTGGGTATGGATGAGGTCACAGAGGTATTTTGGGCTTTGTCCATTCAGGGCTTTGTACGTGAGGAGCAGAACCTTAAACTGGATCCTGTAGTGGACCGGGAGCCAGTGTAGTTTTGCAAGTATGGGGGTTATGTGTGCGGACCTTTTTGTACCGGTGAGAACTCTGGCTGTGCTGTTCTGGACAAGTTGGAAGCGGTTGATGGATTTGGCTGGGAGACCGGAGAGGAGTGCATTGCAATAGTCTAGTCTTGAGAAGACGAGTGCATGAACCAGTTTTTTGATGTCATCAGTTGAGAGTGAGGGCTTCAGTCGGGAAATGTTTTTCAGGTGAAAGAAGGAGGTCTTGGTGATATGTTTGATGTGGGCTTGGAAAGACAGAGTGGGGTCAAACCTTACACCGAGGTTGGTGACAACGGAGGAGAGAGGAATGAGCTGACCATCAAGGGAGGGGCTGATGTTGGCGGCCTTGGCAAGCTGGTCGGTGGTGCCTATCAGGATTGCCTCCGTCTTGCTGCTGTTGAGCTGAAGGTAGTGGTCATCCAGGAGCGGATGTCTTCCAGGCAGGTGTTTAGTGTTTGGATAGTGGTGGTATTGGGTTGTGTTTTGATGTAGACCTGAGTGTCGTCGGCATAGCAGTGGAAGTTGATGTTATGTTGTCTGATGATATGACCCAGAGGTAATAAATAGATTAAAAACAGGATCGGCCCCAGCACTGAGCCCTGTGGGACCCCGCATGTCACTGCGGTGTCGTCAGACCTGGAACCCCCCAGATACACGTGGTACTTCCGGTTGGTGAGGTAGCAGAACCACTTCAGAGCCGTGTCCGTCACCCTGGTGTAGGTCTCGAGGCGGTGGGGGAGGATGGTATGGTCCACTGTGTCGAAAGCCGCACTCAGGTCAAGAAGGACCAGGATGCCATCAGTAGGTCGTTTGCTACTTTTATTAGGGCTGTTTCTGTACTGTGTGCAGGGCGGAAACCTGATTGGAAGGTCTCATACATGTCATTGTCAGACAGATGAGACTGGAGCTGTGCGGCCACGACCTTCTCAAGTACTTTGGCAAGGAACGGGAGGTTGGAGATAGGTCTGTAGTTGGAGAGGAGTTCTCGGTCGATATTTGGTTTTTTTAAAAGTGGGGAGACAACTGCTGTTTTGAAATGGACAGGCACCTCACCAGTCTGTAGTGACTTGTTGATGAGTGTTGTCAGGAAATTAACCAGGGTTGGCGAACAGGCTTTTAGCAGCGGGGTGGGTATGGGGTCGAGGGAGCAGCTGGTAGGCTTTGATTTGCCTATGATGGCTAGCAGTGCAGATGACGTCACCTCGTTGAAGCTGCAGAGGGTGATTCCGTTGATGAAGGGAGAGCAGGTGGGTGGGGTCCGAGCTACTGTTGAGGCTGTAATGGTTGCTCTGATATCTGCGATCTTGTTTTTAAAGAAAGCAGAGAAGTCATTGCAGAGTTCTGGAGAGGCAGCTGGGGGGCCTGTGTTGGTGGAGTTGAGAAGGCGGTTGATAGTGGAGAATAAGGTTCTAGGATTGCTTTTGCCGTTGTCTATTATTGACGAGTAATATGCAGAGCGGGCGTTTTTTAGAGCAGTAGCATAGGCACTTTGGTGTTCTCTGAAGGCCAGTAGGTGGACGGCGAGAGCTTGCTTCCTCCATAGTCTCTCCAGCTGTCGACCACAGGTTTTCATGCGGCGGAGGGCGTCCGTGAACCAGGGAGAGGACCGTTGGAAAGTGGCTTTCCTCTTTTTTTCCGGAGCCAGGATGTTGAGCGTGGTGGTCATGGTGTCGTTGTAGAGCTC